TCTTTTCACTTGTACTTGTGTAACGTTTATGCAAGGGAAAACGTTGTGTTCGCTTGAATATGCCTATGAAGTGTTTTGATGAGTATAATCCTAGGTAGACCAGGATGATACTCTATATGTAAATGATGTTTTGATTATCTTTTTGTATTAGTGTTTATTGTAGTAATCTGTAGTGTGTAGGTCTACATGGGGGGCGGGGCTCATTACCCCGGCGTGTCTCTGGCGTCCATGTAGGACTCCCCCTTGCTAAAGACCACCATGCTGTCCCTTTTGCACATCTTGGGACACTGGTGCGAAGCTAAAACAAAAAGGGGTTAATCATCTATGGTCTAGGGGCCGACTAACCTCTCCCTTAGGCTTTTGCCGAGCTTCCTGATCGGGCTGTAATTCCTCCCGGGGATAGCGGTGTTGGGGTCGAAATCTCTGGCATAGCCGTAAATGCTTCGCGCTGCCATACGACGCTTCAGCATTAGGGTCTGGGAGTATGGTCTTCGGTTATTTTTTATTTAATAAATAAAAATAATCACAATCGCACTTTCAAAAGCTTAATAGCTCCTGTTCTGGTATCGTGGCCCGTCAAGTTTCTCAAATTTGGATGAGCGCGCAACCTTGAGAAAAAGGCCTATTGTGCGCATGCAACAAAATAAAAAATAAAATAAAACATTACTATTGCATTGCAGTCAGAGTGATGCATGCTTTTTATTATTTCAGTACCCACACCGCATCGCTTTCGATGAAGACATAATTGAACTAGTAGACACAGGACATGGACTCCCCTACAAAGAAGATACCGGGGAAATGATGCTGTTCTTGTCCACGTGACCTGTACACGTGACCTGACCACGTGACGGGATGACAGGTCACATGATAAACGAACCTTTGGACGTTTAGAACAGAACGACGAAGATCAAAAACCGGAAAATCATCTAAGGAAAATGAAAATAAAAAGGAAAAGGAGAATAAAAAGCAAATGATTTTTGATATTTCAGTTTCTTGGTGTTTATCTTTTTTCTTTTATATTTTTGATAAAAAAGATGGGAATGAATAAGAAGAAAAGGGAAAAAGAATAAAACAGCAAACAAGCAATGAAAAAAAAAATTTTTGATGAGAAAAAATGAAAAGAAAGTACTGGGTTCCCTGTGTATGAAATTATGCCCATGGTACATTGCGCACCGCGTGCGATAAAAAATCCAAGATGGCGCTTGGCAAAGAAGAAAAAGACTCGAAAATGGACGTCGAAAAATCGGCCACAGAGACGACAGAACCCGTCGAACCAATGACTTTAGAAAATATCCTTAAAAATACGTCTTAAACCAAGGGAATTTTATTGAAATCTATCGCTAACAGGGCGAATTTCGCGCCGTTCTTTTCAAGTGATTTGATAAGCTTCTGATCGCACGAGGTTCGAACGCTATAAATTAACCTAAGAGATAAGAAGGGGGTTTTATAAGGTATTTTCTAACTATTGACCATAATTTTACGTCGCTCACCATCATTTATCTAATATAAATCGTTACCTTTTTCTTGATTTTTTGGTTTTAAAGTTAGAGCTGGTAAAGGACACGTCAACCGTAAGTCTTGCGGTAGAAAAGRCTACAATAGTAAACGATAGTGCTATATCATGATTAATTTGAGTATTTTTATTTTTTGATTTTGGTAAACGATATCAGAGAGCAAGGGGAGACAGAAAAGGTGACACTTTAATAATGATCAATGATCAAATAGGGATTGAGTGGGGGAGGGGGGTGGGGGAAGGTTAAGAATTATAAAATATTTTAAAGATGTAGGTACACATCACAATAATTTCAAATATGCACCTTAACTGAGAACTAGTTTTGCCACTGATCAAAGAGACCCAGGGGCAGCATGGGTTAAGACATGGTGACTATCAGCGTTACAGGTAGGTAGTACATTGACAGTGCAACATTGCATGCAATAGTCTTTGTAGCAGTAAACAACTTTGACTGAGGCCTAGCTGTTGGATGCACATGTTGTTGCTGTTGACGACACAGAAACAAATTGCAAACTTGCAACCTTGCATACTTTTTCACAGGGGTGAACACACTGTGTCTTTGACATTGCGAGCAATATTGCCATATATGTGCATGCCTGCATCAGGCACCCACTCATCCTTTTATTACCGTGGGTAAAACTATGGTATTGTCATGACGACAGTAAAGATGACTGCTGTTAAGACAAGATTAGATTCAGTGAAATAAGAAGGAAAATTAAACACTTTGTAAAAAAAAGTTTGTAAGTTTCCCAGTTTAATTCTTTGTCTGAGTAAAAGAGATTTAGTGTCCTTTGGAACAATCAGTAAGTTTTGAATGAACCAACACTGTTACATGTTAAAGCAGGAGGTTTCCTTACTATGTACTTTTTATCAAACGAAACCCACTCTAAAATACCGATGTTCTAGCATATTATAGCCCATTATTTATTGACCTTAAAACCATGTTTTATCTTATAGGCAGTACTGTACCAGGAGACTAAGACGTCTCTACAAGACTCTTCATTTTCAACATGGGTCAAGAAGCAATTTCAAGCCCAAGAAAGTTACTCAAAATCTCGTCAAAGATGTCAAGTAAGTTATAGTTTATTGTATTATATATGGATTTAATGTATTATATATGGATAGTGATTATGTTATATGGACTTATTGTATTATATATGGATAGTGATTATGTGGTTGTTGATGAGTATTGTGGTAGTAAGGTTAGATGATGATGATGATGGGGTTGTTGATTATGATGATGGTGATGTTGATTATATTCAGCAGTTTTGATGATGATTCCAATTGGAATTACAGTGGATGAATAGCTACTCTGTAGGAATGCCACTGTTAAATCCCATTTATTTATTTATTATTCATTTATGATGATGTTCATGATGAAAATGTTGTTAACGATTAGTAGTTTTGATCATGGTAGTGTTGATGTTGATGATGACGATGTTGATTGGGATTGTGATGATCTTGATGCGGATCACTGAAGATGCTGCTGATGATAGCAATTTTGATAATGGTGATGATGGCGACAATAAATGCCATGATGGTGATATAATTCCATATTCTTTTTCTCTTAAGATTTTTACACATTCYTCTGATGGATGCAGAAAGGTCATGGAGCCATGCCATGGAGTTAAAGCTTCTTGCCAACACAGAACCCAGAAAAAGATTCCACCTCATAAGAAGACTGCGCAAAGCTGCAACACATGCCGAAAGCCTAGAGAAACTATGCGAAGGAGAACTGTGTGATGCTAGGACCAAGCTTGAGGCACAAGTAAGGGGAAAATTCAACCAAAAAATATCCCTAGACTAAGTGAATTTATAAATAGTTTGGACTTATTAGTATGTTTTTTCCCCCAAAAATAATTCATGAAATAATTTTTTGAACTTTTAAACTATGTTGACAGGCCTATTCATCTTACATGAAAGGAGGAGTGAGCTTTGAGTTGCAAAAGTGGAAAGAAGCTCTGGAACTGTTTGGAAGAGCAAGGTACAGTAATTGAAACAATTGTCAGTGAATTATTAACATCGCACACCACATTTTTTCGTAAGAGCTATAGATACATCTGTTTTACATATACAATTTGAGTGGCTAATGTGTATGGGCATTTCATACAAGGACAAACTTGCCTGCTCAGACCTGTCACTGAAAAACAGTAAAATTTTATAGCTATCATGTGGACCCTCTTGGCCAATGAGAAGGGGGAAAATAGACTTTGACACTTGGAATATAGTAACCATTCTATATAGCAACCATATTTATGATCTCTTTCTTGWCCTTTTTCGCAGGACTATCTATGAGAAGCTTGCTGGTGCCTTCTCAGAGGAACACAGGAACATGTATCTACAAAGAGCAGAGGAGATCACACCTAACATTCGTTACTGTGCATATAACCTTGGCGAGGGGGGAACCGACATTAGYGATCTCATGCAGATGAGGCTGAGTGCAACTGGAGGAACTCAGGACCCAGTGCTGGCTGCCAAGATTGATGTAAGCATGTGGTTATGTCTTACCTTCAGGTGTACAGTGTTTTTATGGTAGCTGAAACTTTATACATTAATCTTGGTGATCTGTCTCATCCATTCCGTTTCTTTTCATTTGTTCATTCATTTGATAATTTAATTAAGGATTGGTACTTGGCTAGCGTGCATCCATCGAGTTTTGGGCGCATGCGGGAGGTTGCTAAGCACGAAAGAAGCGTAGGAGTCACATGATGCGTAGCCGAGTGCGACTCTAGCTTCTTGAGTGCTTAAGCAACCTCCCAAGTTGCACCATGGGTGCACCATGGGTTTTTGGATGCACGCTCGCACACACTAATTAACCAATAAGAGCGTGCGTTATATTGTGGCTATGTTATAAACAATGATATTACCCATCCATCCGTCCATTCAATCATCCATTCATTCATTTATCCATCTATCCATCCATGCAACCTTTTTATCCATTCAT